TGCTGTGCCAGCAGAAACAAAGTCTTAGGTGCTGCAGATTGTCAGCAATTTCCTTCTCCAGCACATGGATAACTACACCTGGAAACATCTACCTACCAACCTACCTACTCTCTCTCTCTCCCTCCCTACCTAATGTATTTATCTCCCTCCCCCTCTATCTACCTATGTACCTACCTACTGTGTGTCTCTGTGTGTGTCTCCCTACCTATCTACTGTATTTTTCTCTCTCTATTTCTTTCTATTTCTCTCTTTCTATCCCTCTACCTACCTACCTACCTACCTATCTACACTCTCTCTCTCCCTACCTACCTACTGTATTTCTCTCTCTCTCTCTCTCCCTCTCTCTCCCTCTCTCCCTCTCTCTCCCTCTCTCCCTTTATCTACCTACCTACCTTCCTACTTACCTACCTACTCTCTCTCTCTCTCTCCCTCCCTACCTACTGTATTTCTCTCTCTCCCTCTCCCTCTCTATCCCTCTATCTACTTACCTACGTTAAAAAAAAAGCCTCTTCAAAACCTTAGTGCATCTTATACTCCGGTGCGTCTTATACTCCAAAAAATATGGTAAGTAACTATGTAAGTATTTCCTTGGAAGAGAAGTAGTAGCAAAGCTAGACTAAGGCAGGAGATGAGAAGAATGCATGGAGGTGCCAAAGGGTTTCTGAGAGAGGAAATTTGAGACTTCCAGCCTTTCACTCTGTAAATTCAGCTCTGCTGCTGCTGTAGCGTAAATCTCAGAAACCCAATAAAAATAGAATTGACATCTTAAATTTAACCTAAATTTTACTATTACATTAAATAGTTAACACTAATGGATTAAAACTACAGGCAATCATACATCCTAGGAAGAACACATATTCAGTGTCCTTGAATTCTTAAGGCTGCTTCACATTTTATAGTTTTCAGAAATATCAACTTCTTGACCTATGCATTTATGACAAAATAAATGCCATCATAGTACTTTACTTAATAACATGTACATATTTCTCTTTATTTGTAAGAGTATTATGTAGTTCCATAGAACACATTTGCAATTTCAATGTCCTGTTGAATAGATGCTTCATAAAAATGCATGCTGAATACATTTTATTACATTTTAATTTCACTTGACTTTCATTTGATAGAGAAAACACATGTCATGATGGTGCTGTTTGGCTGGAAGGATCACTTATTCAATTTGAGAAATTTGAGAAAATTTGTCCAGATGAACAGATTCCAACTACTGGAATCACCATAAAATGGTGATGATCTGTTAGATCTGGTGAATAAGCCAATCGAAATATTGTAAAAATTGGGGGATGGTAGATGTTAAAACAATACATGAGGCAGTTTTCCCTGCCTCCTGCTTAAATAAAATCCAAGCTTAATTTTATGTGTAAGAGAAAGCGAACACAAATTTCATTTGTGCACAGAATGGAAACAATGCTTTATTTACTATCTATTTAGTCTATATTGAGATTCTGGCTATAGCACTCAGGTAACAAAGTTCATTCAGTTGAGACTAGGCATCCTAACTTTATTTCTCTGCCAAAGAATCTCAAGGAAATGTAGGATTTTTTCCCCCTGTGGAACTTTTTTCAGACTAGGAGAAAGCAAGAGAGATTTGCAGTGATCTCAATATATCTATACTACCCACCAGGGACGTGCAGTCACTAGAGGCAAGGGAGGCGGGGCCTCACCAGTCTCCTCAGAGAAAGGAAAAGATTTTAAATAATTTTCTTAAAATAATTAAAGCCAGGGTAGTTGCTACCAGATTTCAAGTCACAGTGGCTTGGTGTCTGCTCTCAGTATTAACTAGGAGGAGGCCAGAGAACTAGGGGCCTCTTTTGCATAAGGATTTTTTCGCCTTTTAAGAGTTAAGCAAGGGTTAACAAGCGAATAATTTATTATGCAAATGAGGCAAGTATTCTCTCGCCTCATGTAGAGGGCATTTTTAGAGGCTTTTTAGAGTTTTCTGGGAGCGACTAGCTCAGTCTGACTTCAGAGCT